ACACACACACACACACACACACACACACACACACACACACACACACACGTATGCACTGCGTGTCTGGAAGCCAGAGACCAGCTTAGGGTATTGCCCTCCTCTATTGTTTTGAAACAGGGTTTCTCACTGAATCTGAATTTCATGCATTAGGTTAGTTTGGCAGGATCCTCCTATCTTCATACTCAGACCCCCAAACACTAAGGTTGTAGGCTCATACCATCATGACTACTCTATGTGCTAGGGAGTTCATGCTTGCACAGCAGGCAATTTATCAACTGAGTTCTCTCTCTCCAACCTCTCATATCCATTTTTTTTTCATAATATATCCTGTCTAGTGTTATGTTCGGTACAAAGAATGCTGTTAAGAAATTCTTCCTTGACATATAGATTTTTAAAAATGCAAAACCATTAAAGAAAGGGAAGGATTAGTAAGGAAATATGCAAGATCACAGAAGTGAAAGCAATCAAATTAGTGGAAAGTTTACAGTTGTGAGATCACACAATGGTGATTATTTCTGCAGTATTCACAGAGCAAACTGTAATACTATTATTTGTTTTCTCCTTTAAAAGTTAATGTGCTTAAAACCAACCAATCAGCAAACAATATAGTAACTTGATGATAATAAATCTGATGCAAAAATTTATCTTCCTCTTCCCCTCAACTCTAACCACCTTGAGAATAACTGTAATGCTTTCTTATAGAAGCCATCCAATCATTATCTTTGCTACCTTGAGTCTCTATATTTGACAATACCTTCAATTCTAATAGCACCTTTGTAGGCGTAAGGTTATTGTGTAATACAAAAGCTGATTGCTGTATCCCCCATATCTACTTGCAAGCCTTGTTCTGAGAATCTCCTGTCTTAATGTTATATTTAACTCTGCTCCCCAAAGGTACCCTGAGATGTCAATGAAACAGATTACAGCCAACTGCTGAGGAAGGGAGAAAATAGAGCTGGACATCCTGCTGGAGGAGTTAGAAGAGGAAGTAGGGGACTGAGTCACAGGCAGAGGTCTCAGGAGACACCAGGAGAGAGAGATTAGCAGGGAAGCTACAAAGTACAGGAATCCTGGAGTGTACACTGGGAGAAAACCAGATTAGCATAGAGGGTTAAGATTAGAGCAATAACTGCTCAGTTCTTCTGTGAAACTTATTATAAACAGATATAAGGAGTCTCAATTATTTAGAAGATGGCCAGGTTAAGAGTGAGATCTCCACACAGCTCACTTTAATTCTGTATGAGTTGAAGTCTAGCAGTAAGACAAAAAAATATAGTGATATTGGAAGAGATAAAAATTCAATGAATAATTCACCCCACCTAATGTGGTGGGCTGTAAGTCATATCAGACCTTGTTTGGTTACTCCCACAAGTCTAAGGGAATTGATTTTATTTGCTCAGGTGATAGAAGGAGATGAAAGTCATACCCAAGCATTACTGATACATTGTGGTAATTTTAGAAGTATATGCTAATGTGTATAATTTGCCCTATATTTAACACAGTGATACTATCTAATCCTCTATCATAATCAATAAAGACACAGATAAGTGTTAAAATTTTTTAATAGCCTTATATCACCTGGAACAGGGCAAATATTAACCTTTTGAACTACCTTTACTTCTCAGCCCCATCCCAGGCTACTCCCCATCCATAGTTCTTTATCTGGACAATTACTTTCCATGCCATTATTGCAGTCCTCCGAGCCCGCGTGGTTCTTTTTATACCCCATGGCAACTCTGCTTTCTCCTTTCTTCTCCATCTCTCTCCTCCTCCTTCCCGTGATCCTCTTGCATGCCCAAAAGCCACACCTAGGCAATACATCCTCATCCACCTTGCCCAGCTCTGTCAATATTTTATTGGTCAAACAGAGAGGCAAAGTTTACAACATTATTTAGAATACATGAGTGTCTACTTGTAAAAAAAAAAAAAAAGAAGAAGAAAAAAGAAAAGAAAAGAAAAGAAAAGAAAGGCCAGATTGGGGAGGGAAAGGGGGGGGGGGGGGGGGGGGGGAGGAAGCAATTAACATTAGAATAGATAGTACTAGACCAACCCCCAACACTACATGGCTTGGACTGAGCCCAGAGTGTTCTATCTATCTCTAAGTTGGGCCTGGAAGCTTCTAACCTCCATACAGTCTAATCTTCTGCAAACCTGGACCTTGAAGGCTTCAGATTCCAGCCTCTATCTGCTAACCTAGGCCTAGAATGTTTTCCGTCTCCAAGAATTACTGCTAAATAATTTCCCTTTCCAGTTCTTTTTGAACCGTGGCTGGCTGGTTCAGCTCAGCAGTTCTGGCTCAAACTCACCTCCAAACTGACTCAACTTGGTTTCTCTCAGTTTCTAACTGAATTGCTCTGCTTGGAAAAAAAAATCCATGAACTGAACTGAACTGCATTGACTGCATGAACTCAAGTTCACTGAATGTCCTGCACCAAACTCAAGTGAACTGTACTGTACTGACTGCATGACTGTATTCCTGTACTGTAGTCTCTTCCTCTGTACTGTACTGTCTAACTCTCTCTCTTTCTCTGTGATGCTCTTATGTAGCCTCTCTCTCTCTCTCTCTCTCTCTCTCTCTCTCTCTCATGAGAGTTGGGCACATTCTTCGGTCTTTGATTCATTCTGTCAGTACATCTCTGATTCATCTCTTGGCCTGCCCCTCCCTCAATTAGATGTCATTGTTTGGGATTAAAGATGTGTACTAAATGTGTATCTGTATTACAGCCAGAAGAATCAAAGGTGTGACATGTCTATATTCCAGCCAGATCACACTTAGGTCTTTGGATGTGATTCCTTGCCAGAATAGCCACGTTACTAGATTAAAATTCCTTTATACACAAGTTTTGTGCCACCATTGCCCTAGCATATTTTGATGGCTGGACAGCTTGGTAGGTTAAAGGGTTTGCGCCTAGGTTGATATTTATGTTTCTGTTTTGGTCTCCTGCAGAATACCTTTTGGTACCAAAGGCAGTGGAACGTAGGGGTGAAGGTTCTATGTAGGCACTAAGTCAAGCTCTCCATATTTGATGATTTGTGTGGGTGTTGTCTTCTGCAATGAGGCCTTACTATCTGATTTTAGAGAGCAACCCATTGTCAACAGTCTGGATTGCTTGGCTATTTCCATGGGATTCCTTTGACCAACAATGCAATTTGGTGTAACCCTGTCCGAGTACTGGAATGTTTGGTGACTCCTTCTCCCCCGTTATTTGCAGACTACATCATGATCACCTTCATAGATGTTAGGAAGTGTCCACTGTATTAGATTTCCATGCCACCCTGCAATGCCTGTCCATTCTAATTGTCTCTCCCTCCATTCCCTCCCTCAGCTACCCCCAGCCCATCTGATCCTCCCCACTATAGCCCCCCATTTACAGTCCACCCATAAAATCTCTATTATATTCTATTTTCGCCTCCCAAAGAGATCCATGTGCCCTCTCTATATCCTTGCTCTATACCTAACCTCTCTGAGTCTGCACAGTGTAGTTTGTCTATCACTTACTTAATGGCTAATGAGTATATGTAAGTGAATACATACCATATTTATCTTTTGGGGTCTGGATAGGAGAGGAGAGTAATAAGAACACATTACATAGCTGTATGGAGTTTTTAATTTAATAAATGAAATTAATAAAAATAACTAAAGAGTTCTCTACATCTAAAATAAAATTGAAAATATGTAAAATTTGTTTCAGAAACAAAGAAATATGACATGTTTATTATCTTGATAAAAAGCATTTGATAAAATCTTAAACCTATTTTTTTTTTATTTTTATTTTTTTTTTAATTTTTATTTTATTTTTCTTTTTAGTTACATTTTGTTAACTCTGTGTCCCAGCTGTATCCCGCTCCCTCATTCCCTCCCCAACCCCACACTCCCTCCCTGGTCTCCTCCCTGCCCCTTTCCAAGTCCCCTGATAGGGGAGGACCTCCTCCCCTTTCATCTGACCCTGTTTTATCAGGTATCTTCAGGGCTGGCTGCGAAGTCCTCCTCTGTGGCCTAACAGACTGCTCCTCCCCTGGGGTGGGGGTCAAACAGCCTGCCCTTGAGATCCTATTAGAAATAGTCCGTGTTCCCCTTACTTTGGAAAACTACTTGGTTACTGAGCTACCACAGGCCACATCCGAGCAGAAGTTCTAGGTTATATCCATAGATGGTCCTTGGTTGAGTGTCAGTCTCAGAAAAGACCCTGTGCCCAGATATATTTGGTCCTTGTGGAGCTCCTATCCTTTCCATATCATACTAACTTCCCTTCTTTCATATGATTCCCTGCACTCTGCCGAGGGTTTGGTTATGAGTCTTAGTGTCTGCTTTGAAACACTGCTAGGTAGAGTCTTTCAGATGCCTTTTGTGATAGACTCCTGTCATAAGTTCAATGCACATCCCATTTGTCTTTCTAAATGAGGATTAATCACCTTCGCCTGTGTCCACTTTCTTGATTATCTTCTTTAGGTGTGTAGATTTCATTAT